TTGTATAGTTTCTTATTATGTATACTCCAGTAAATGCGTTGCGAATGTAAAACTGTAAAAATTCTACGTCTGAAACTTTGCAACCTAAAATTGTCGGGAAACTTCCAGATTGCAGCTCTGGAGAAAATTGCTGATACACTCATCTTTCTCGTGCTTCCTGATCATTTCACTACTCAGTGATTAAATTTTTCAGTTTTGAAATTATAATGGTGCGATATCCCTTTGGGTTATTTCAGAAATAACTTGTTTTGTAATCAAAATATCATTTTCATACATAATTGTTAATAGTTCTCTGAAACTGAAAATGCCATTCATTATTTTCTTCAATACAAAAATGTTATTCATTAAAAAGAGAGATTAGTGTAGAATTTGAAAAGAATGGGTTACTGTTACTCATTTGGCCGTAACATTTTGATAACCAGATATCAAACCATCGTTTTCCTTACAAAATACTAACAAAATATACATCAATAGAAAAATGAGGAATCGCTTTCATTTGATGATGATGATAAGCTTTCGTACAGGAAAATTAACTGGTATTAATTCAGTTGAGGTTCATATTTCCGTTTTCCACCTGTCGCCTTAGCAATGGTAGCCTGGTACGATTTCCATAGATCTATTACCTGTTAAGAGAATATATGCGTCTTTGATTTTGATAATTTTTTCATGGGATTCCTTGGTGATGGTTTTTTTGTCGCTCCATTTTGTTGCGTGATCACCAATTGATTTTAGAATATGCATCCCCAATTCTGCTATATTACGATGTTCTTTTTTTAATCTATAGGGGTTTTTAGGTTTCACCTATATAACTTTTTAAAGAACAAGATATTGTAAATAGGCTCTTTCGTTTTTCAAACTGTATTTTCTGATTTACTTTGTGTCCGAAAAAATCTCAATATGTTGGTAGTTATATATCTGTTGTTTTTACATTTCCGATCCTATTATATGTCTTCTCTTATTCATGATGTTCATTTTTTCTCGCAACTAGGGGTCTTTAGGTTTCAGCTATATAACTTTTCCACAATAACAAGGTATATCTTAAATACTCTCTTTCGTTTCAACCGCACTGTCAAGTTTAGTTGGCATCAAAAAAGAAATCAAAGTGTTGGTAGTTTTAAAATTTGTTCTTATATTATATTTCTAACCTATTCGTCTCAATTTTTCTGAAAAAAAATGGTACATGAGGTATGACGTTAGTTGTTAGGTACGTGTGTTTTTAGGATTGTAATAATTCTGTAATCTCTATGTAATTCAACTCTATTCATTCTTTAGATTATGGAAGGTTATACACCAAAAAACAGGAAACATAGTCACGTCCATAAAATATGTCTTTTAAAAAATATTATTTTTTGAATCGAAAAGTTAGGTTAGTACCTATGTACCTATGCCATAATTGTGTGCATATGATCTTTTTAGAAAATTGTCATGAAGTTTTTTATCAAGTATCTTCCTTATTTTCCCCAATCTACGTCTCTATTCAACGTGTAGCTTGTATCCCGGCCACATCGTGATTCGCGTAATTTGCAAAGCGAATACATTTACCCGACATCAAAACTGACTAATGCATAGTTCGATTATCCTTTTCAGAGGATAAATCAAGTGAATTACGGGTTAAAATCAAACAAGCAATCCAAGTGATTGGCAGTATAAGGGCCCATTTGTGCAGATTAATCACCGTTGCCTGTATAATGGTCTGTCGGGTCCTTTCACTACGGCCACTTCACTATACGACCTTTTGACAAACCATCGCAGGAGCAGCATTTGGGGTGGAAGACTAGGGAGTCATCAAGGACGCTGGTCAGATGGGATGCCATCGTCAAACTAATCATAAGAAAAGACAGTCCATCTTATGGTTTTTCTGAAATTACAGGTATTCAACTTTTATTATTTCATTCACTCGTTTTTAGTACCTATAACATGAGAATTATTCCAGAAGATACACTTTCATGAAGTCATAGGTAAAACAGACCCGGGTCATTTTGCTTCGTTGGCAAAAATATGAGAGAACACAACGTTATTTATTAGTAAAATGAGTAGTGGCTTCATCAAAAAAATGAATAAAAAAATGTAATCAAATCAGGTTGAATTGGATGTTAAGTGAAACGTTCGACAAGATATTCGGTAAGTGTGAGAAACAACTAAATATTTTTATACTACATTTTCCTATTCATCACCGGATATTTAAGCTTTCCGACGATAGAAAAAAAAAAGATAAGGTATGAACAACTGATTCCACTTTTACAAAAGTTGCAAAGTTAAATGAATGAAATTTTATATTTTCCATACGATGTGCCAATTCTAATAGAGAATATAGTGAACAAACGATAATATTTATGAAAATATATTGATCGCTGGCAACAGTAACTGTTGACTCCGAAGATATGAGTTGAGTGAACATTTGCGTATATACACAATAAAATTCAAAATATAGAATTTCAATGACAGATAAATGATAGCAGCATGTTACTACCAATATAAAAATCTCTTGCTTCAATTTGCCCCCAACTCTTTGATCATTTTCATATTTGAAAAAGAAAGCAGACTTTGAATTGAAGGAGCAGTTATTTCCGGGAAAGTTCAACGATGNGCGAAACGTCAGGACGGAATTCCAAAAATAGACTGCCTTCAAAACCAAAAATTAATGACACTGAAAAACTGGACCGCGAAAAGGCTCAACCATTTTGTCGTTTATTAGATGTGTCAATAAAAATTGAAACGGTAATATTTTCAGGAGGGGTTAGTTTTGGCTTCCTACCTTCCATCAAAAATTTTCCAACGTTTTTTTGTTAATAATGGATGGATAACTAGCCAAAATGTTTGTCCAAATAATTTCTTCTAAAAATATTCCTATTTTCGATTTGAATGAACTTCCAATGGCTAAAATAAAACCTACCAAATTATTTCATTACACAATTTATGTGATTAAAATTGCAGATACACAAGAATAAAATCTGTAACATGATCGTGATTTAATTGACTATAAGAAAATGGCAGTTTTTTTTATAAAACATGTCAATCTCACGACTAGTTTTTGTATCATATACATCGTGTAATGTAATAAGTTAATGGGTTTGATTTTAAATTAATCCGTATGACTTTTCTTCTGAGATAAAGTTGCAGTAAACGGTCGTTTTGAAAAAAATAAGCAATATTTTTCCAAAATCTATTTTACCCCATCAGACACACTACATTTAACAGTTGCTGTCATCAAATTATTGATATAACAACTATCATAGGGTTGCTGAATGATCAACAGGAGATGTAGTAACATCAGAATGTATAGAAGTACATCGTATACATGCTGTGTGTACGTAGCAAACCACGATTAATTATACAGATTGTGCAAACATACAAACATATCAACTAGTCAGCAATAAAGTTTGTGACGGCCATAAACGAATAAATGAGCTCCTTAACAAATATTGAAATTCTGAAATGACAAAAGCCATTGCTTCTAGTAAATAAATCATCATCAGTTATGTTATTATAAAGAATGATACAATGTAAGATAACTCATCAGAGAGGATCCAATAATAATCAGCACATTTTAAATTTCAGTACCATTTTAATTGACCTTATAGTCTGAGATAACAAGCAGAAAAGATGTGAAAGCTCGCCAGATGACCTCAAACTTTTATAAATTGCAACCGAATTTACGTTATTGGATGAAATCTGAATTTTAAATATGTTATATGGATAACTATAAAGTATATTCTCTCAGTAGCCGGACTGTTTTGATACTTCTAACAACGCGACAAACATAAAGACGGGGTATAGAGCAAGAGGCAACATACGAGTTAGATGTGAATTAGGTAGGATCTCTGCTTCCGCATTTCATTTAATTATTATGGTGTTGAGTTATTATACATACACGACATATACGCACATTTTATTTGTGTACTTTGCAAAATAAATGTTAATGTATTTGAGAGAATCAAATCAAATGTCATTATCAAATGAAAATGTAATATATAAAACAAAGTCGCAAAATGGCGTTAGTTCCATAACCTAAATCTCAAAAAAGTCTGGACCGATATTCATGATTTTTAATTTGTTGGATTTGTCTCCATCAGGAAAATTTGAAAAACTATTGAAACATTTGAAATCTTTGAAGAGAAACTGAATTGATAATGTTCGTTTTGTTAGGCTATGAAAGTTACGTACATGGTACATGCAAGGACAATTGAAATTGAAAAATTTGTGATTGTGCACGCATGAATAACGGTTATGTCATAATAATTGAAAGCCCAATAACTAGCTTATTTGCAGTAGAGTTACCAGTTATTGTTTGAGAATACACGGCGTGGGATTTTCACAGCTTTGGTACCTATTGTCAGCTAAAGCCACGATGATTCTAACTTCACATTAACCCTTCGTTCCATACCTATATTGGGGCGTAGTACCTACTGAGAAACTTTCGACTTCTGTAAAATAACGAAAGTATGGCAGTCACGGGCTCTTGCTATAGCAAGAGATGTCATAGATGTCATATTCGGAAACGGAGATGACATCGCCCTTGTTAACCCAGGTTTGTTCTATAAGAACAGTTGAGTCCATCAATGCATTTGTGGTTCAGCCTCACACCACAGTGCCGTCTTGTGTTGGATCATAAATGCGTTGTGTTTGGGCTGTGTTTTCTACTCATGAATTTTGTTGTCACTCACAATTCCATGTTGAAATTGCTATCGAATTTGATACCCAACAAACCTTTCTAGAGGACTATCACTTTTTAACCTTTACTACACTCTATATTTTTTCTAGATCAAACTGGAATCTCTGGCGGAATATAAATGCAAAGCAATCACTTTTCCACATCGCCAACTTTAGTTCGTGAAACACGGGTCGCGAAAAGTTTTGCATTCCGATTAAGAAAAGTGCTAATTTCTAATTGATTTATAATATTGTTCAATCAGCTCACATCTAGCTATGTAATATAAAAACACATCCGTGAACAGCCAAGATGCGATAACTCAACAGTCAAATGAAAGTAATCGATTTACCGTAAGATTGACGTTGCATATGGAAGGTCCTGATAACAGCAATCTCACAATCTCAACGTTTCCCGACCAGGCCGCCAAGTGAAGGGGCGACGAGCCTTTGCTGTCGACGATATTTGTTGAAGCATCATGTTCCAGGAGCAATTTGACGATTTCTCTGAAAACAATAACACAAGGTCATTTCAATTAGAAACCCTTAACCAGGAATGAATTAGTAAATGCAACGAAGCCATACATTAATTCATGAAAAACTACAAATATATAATTTGGACACATTACCTCTCATCAAAATGGTCATTTAGCCGTTGAGATAGAATAAGGTTTGAAATTTCCCTACCTTCCATAATCATCTGAATGAGCCAAAAGAAATATGAATTAATAGGATGAATAAAACTAAAATTAAATGAAAATAATTCATTTCGAAGATTGAATTTTTACTATATTACATTCCATAAAATATCAAGACAATATGAGCCATGGACCGTGAGAGTATATAATATCAAAGTGAAGCTAGATATCTTCATGTTGCTGGCTATCTATCTGTCAAATTTCAGGTAACCAGGTAGTTTGACAGATGTTTTTGGTTTACCAATTTGTTTCATGTTAATTTCCGTATGCCAAATAACTGTCCTGTATGAGAGTTTATACTAAAAATCCAATCACAACTGTCCAAATTTGTTGATCATGACTAGACTGGGTAGGTATCGGAAACATCGTATGTCAATTGCCAAAATGTTGCCAAAACGAACTGGCCTCATTGGCACTAACGTCATTGTGGCGACGAAAACCAAATGTCAGTGTAAAAGCATACGAAGGTCATATTTGACAGAGAGGTCAATAGATATGTTACCAAATTTACAACAGCCCAGCTAAGCCACAATCGTAAAGTTATTGAAAAAATTATAGGTCTACTGAAAAAACATTTTGAGTTCCAAAGCAACAGGTCATCCTTTGAATATACTGCAGAAGATATGTGTACAAATCTTGCAAATTTGCAAATCTTGTCCCATAGTGAATGGTAAATGATCAAAAGCAGATGTACTGTTTAAATCTGTTCTGTTTAAATCTGTTAACCAGCTGTCGCATCCCTACTAACGACAACCCTTAGAAGTCGAAACTTGTGCGAGCTAAGGACTAACGAGGTGTTACCTTTTAACGTGTGATTCATAACTGGAAAAAACAAACAGATTTAAAAGTTATAACAAGAAGCCTCTGGTGAAATACCTACCCAAAACTGCAAAAATAAAGAAACGGTTGATAAGTAGAAATATTGCTATGATATATATTACCAAGACCAAGTTATGGTAAGAATTGAAACTCAGAGGCACGATACAAATAAAACAGAATGTTTTGGACATCTTTCAAATTTATTATTAACAACAATTACTACTGTCAACATGAATCAACATATATACTGTGAGCATTCATGAACATGAATGGGTAGTTGTTAAAATTGAAATTATCAATAAACCCCCTCAATTCAAATATGAGAATATCAGCCTTAATATCTTAGGTTGAAATGAATTTTAAAAATACGAGTTCGTTCACAAAAACTTCTTACAACAGTAAACGTTTCAAATGAATATTCCCTACTGTAAGACTCACGAACTCCGCTTCGATCCGCACAGTAAGTTCCAGTTCCTGTCCCATGCTCGGTTTTCAAAACGTCTGTAAACCAGGTGTTCCTGCCGAACATGTTTTCGGGATGAATCTTTGCGGGTTTAGGCTTTAACTCCGAAGTATGTGTCGAACATATATCTGGGCGTCATGTAATCCGAGAACATGTTTGAAATTTGTTTCTCTACATATTTCTTAATTTCTGTTTTGTCCGACTCCAAGTTGCTGGGTGAGGTTTTCAGTATCAATTGGACTACCCTTCCTTTTTCAATTATCACAAAATGTAAAGGAGAAAAATTCAAGAGTGTCTCCTATGCACAGTTGTCTTCATTTTTCCTGTTTTTCCCAAACATGCAAGTCTTATCGATGCATAATGTATCATGGATTTAAACAGCATACATCATGTCTGGTTTCAACCTCCATGTCTTGCCAGCATCAGTGCTACATTTGCCTTTTGTTTCGTTCTTTATTTTAGATCAGACTGGCGGCGTTCATCGTCGTTTCTATCAGGAGCCTTGCTCCCTTACCCTCTGGACTATTTTTCGTCAGAGGGACGAATGGGTCATGACTGATCTGTGATGGTGGCATGAAAGTCCTCAGACATCCATACCGCCCTTCGCGATGTACCCCCACCTTGGTGAGATGGATGAAAATATTATTCATCTGTTAATGGAGGACATAGAGGCCTCATTCGACAGAGTCGAATAGGGGCCTTCTATATCGAGAGGGGTCGTCTACAGCGTAATATATAGCTTCCCTGACTAACCAGATCAGACTGGGTCCTAGTAACACAGCCAGGTCCTACCTCAACCTCAAAGTTTTGAAGATCCTATGACCTTTGTCTTGAATCTCTTGGTGAATGCTACTACAGTCATTTTCGTTGGACGTATGTTCAGTTCTTTTTCCTCGGCTCATCTTGATATAACATGCAAGACCTGCTGCCCTCACTATATCATTGAGACTGTCCTGTACTAGATTATTATAGTCTGGAAGACGTAGGTCCATAACAGAGTGGTTAAAACTCCCCTCTTAGGACAGCCCTTTGCAATCCGTGCCACCACTGTTTCTTCCATAATGACCGTGCATACCAATCTTTCTCTGAGGATACAGTTTATCGATCTTCCTTGATCTTGTTAGCATAGTATGCTTTATCCGTCACCCGGCATAAAGCTGTTTCTGTTGACAATCCTAAGTTGTAAGCATATTGGTATCGATGCATTTGTCAAGTAAGCAGTGCTATGTTCCTAATACGCCTGTCAAATAGTTTAATGTTTTCAATGCAAAAGACATGAGTTCTGTCTGTTAGTTCTGTATATTTTTCCTGGGTTTCGGAATGAATATGATTTTTATGTATGATATGTATTCAAGAGCCAAACTTGCCCTGAGGATAACACCCATTTTGAAAGTTCATGTCCTTTTTGCAGCATCACTGGATAAGTGTCATCTGTTCCCGACGACTTATATAGTAAAAATGAGCCTACAGGTTATTTAATCTTCTCCAAATCTACCACTTCAAATCTACCACATATCAAATGTTCCAAAATATTTTGAATATATCTCTCTTAGTCAACAAAAATTTCAATGCCATTTTATTTTTCTAATGACCAGCATATCTTTGGCCTTTCCTGAATTCCTGATTTCGAATCAAGTCTCCAAGATATTTTTCAGGAAATATTTTTCAGCAACAGTATTCGGGACCACTACAAAGAAATATATATACAAGGCAATATCAGAAACTTCAAATCGTAAAAACAATCTAGTCATTTATCGACCTTTCTGATCCAATTTACTTTTCATTCCAAGCTTCACGTAGTAAAAAACTCGATTTCCATTACTTTCACCTTTAGGTTGAGACACACACACGTTTCTTTTCAATTATTTTCAAAAAAGCTACATTAACATAACATAATTTTCGGAATCCACACAACATACCTGGTGAAACCCTAAGGAACAAGCCTAGCTTCAATTCATTTACAAAACTAACTGCTTTCTCATTAGCTGGTAGTCCTATGTTCCATTATCAGTTTGACTCTGGTATTTGTTCCCCCAACGTGTTTCCTAATACTTGAGATTTACACAAGATACAGCCTATTGTGAGCTATGCTATTCGAAAACTCAGATAACTGTGATCCATTTTTTGTTCTGGAGTCATCTTAGGTACTTCACATAAACCAGATATTTTTCTTGCACATCAATACTTTTGCCACATTCGCTTGTGGATGAGTCATAAACCTCACCTTTTTCATAATTAACCTTATTTTACTGAGCGTTGTGACAAATTCAAAAATTACTTTCAGGGGATTGACAAGGCAAGAATGTATGCATAATATTGTTGCTCGAGTTCTCGTTCCGTAAAAAATGTTCCTTTCGTGTTACCGTCATTGGTTCACATTGCAATTTCACACCTATAGAGAAAGTTAACTCCTCAAAACTCATGAGTGCTTCAATTTTCCTTCTCTTATTTCGTTTGCTGACATCAACAAAAGATCTTGTTGATGGTATTATAAAAAGGTCTTGTATTCAACAAGTAACACTCAAAGCCAAATTACACAAACACACATGTGATTCAGTACTAAGACCTTTGCTATCTGGCAAAGGGAGACATAAAATAAACGTCAAGAGTTTCACTATCTATTCCTATATCTCAGATAGTAACTAAATTTACGATCCTGCGATATCTGAAATATTGACTTATTTCCAAATTTCAGAGTCAAATACTCCTGTGTGCACCAGACCCTTTACGGGTTCTTTCGTCTCGAACAGAAATGTTTCTCTTGATTTTTTTAATTTCGGTTATTGCTCCAGTAGTGATATATTACTCCATAACTCACCTGTGACCATTCAAAGCCGCATGGTGAAGAACAGAATATCCACTGCTATCCTGAACATTCGCTCCTGGTCCCCTTCGAAGACTGAAACAAAAGAAAAACATAGTTAGCATTCACTCTGATCTTAGCAATTTTCATTGGACAATTCTTGTACCTTGATGTTTTTTGTTTTTTATCTTTCACAACTTTTCTTCACAAAGAGATAACATTTCAAAAAAAAAAACTAATAAATAGAGTTTATTCTATGATTTTCACTAACTGTTTGAGGGATTTAATATTGATGGAACTGCCTGGGGAATCTTAGATTTATGAAATATACTCCAATCGGTTCTTATTAAAATTTCTATGGAAAAGCAAGCACAAAATGCATCATTTGATTGTACCTCACCTCTAGATAGCTGTTGAAGAAGAAAACATTGATGTATTAGTGGAATTGGTGGTTTTAGCACCTGATGATAAAGATTTTTTTAACTAGTGATTAATAATGTCTTGCGATTTTATTCGACAAAAACCTTGTTTATGAAATATCAACAAATCTCCTATCCATTGATGCATCCACTGGTTGTAACACAACTATAACCCCTTTTTATATAAAAAGGAAAAACAGTTTTATTGAAAATTTTAATAAACATCAGAACTTACGTGCAGCAGTTGAAACGTCCATAGATGAAGAATCACACGAAGAAGAACTTTTCAATGAGAGTATTGATTGTATTCTCACAGTGTACGAGTACAACTGCCATGCATTTGAATAAAATGGATTAGCTTCTAAGACCAAGAGCGTAGAGTTCTCAGTGAATTAGTAGTTTGATCATGAATGATTAAACCTACAGATATTTAGGAAAGGTGAATTATTGTTAGATTGTTTGCAAACAAAGGCGTATTACATTCACCTACAAAAAGACGCAGTAATTTACAATAATCAAGTTTCATTCCTGTCGAATACTTAGGTACCTGTTGGTTTTAACATTCAGAACTGAATTGTCATTTTGTATATCTCTGAAAATACTATCCAAGTTAGTCCGTTACCTCCAACAGGAAATGCAGAAAAATAACATATTAAAAGAGTTCACTTCCGAGTTTATTAATAAAAAAGAATGCGCTAATACCTCACGTATAATGGGGATCGTAAAAAGTGAAGTACTTGAGAAAACTTCACAAAAGTATATTTGGTATATGGAAATCATACATATTGTTTACACAGTATAAGTAAATCTGTCCTTGCCTCATAAGGTTTCAAGTAATAGGACTTTCGATTTCCTGTTTTGACGCTACTATAGAGACTACCAGTGGCTGGCTCCTGTAGCTATGGTCAGTTGCTAATTGCAACGCATAATGATCAGCACAACGTGTTTAAACATGTCCAAAACCGTTGGCGAAAAGGTAACTGGAAAAAATAGGCGGCAGATCTATTCCAGTGAAACTAGTGCCAGCAGTAACTGGCATCGTCTAAGTGGTCTTTTAGGAATTTTAAAAACTATACTTTGGAACACGTTCATAACATGTGTGTCACCGTCATCTTGAACACATTGAAAAACAAATTGTGATTACAACTGATGATTTCTCTACAAAACTCTTGGAAACTCTAGATTGATCTACTTGCAGTATCAAGTAGGGGTACCGAGTTGGTAGCAGTATCTATATTTTTTTTTATTGATTTGATTTCCACTCCCACACCTTACTCAGTTAAAAAGAGTATTAAATGAAATCTCATATAATTTTAAAATATTTACAAATAACCCCACCCCTTCTCATTTCGAAGAACTTTCCAGCAGAATCAAATAAAAATCACGCATGGAGCAGTGACTTTCAAATCGAAAAATAATTGGAATTACAGCAATTCAGAAATCCCGTCAATTACTCCTAAAAGGTACTTCAGAAAGCAATAACGCACCGGGGGCGTTAAAAGGCAATAATAATAAGGGTGTGACTATATTCCCTTCGATATTGCCGGATTAAAACCTTCATACAAACACTTAAAAACGCTTAATCCGTAAATCTCATATTGCTGTCACTTACTCAATCAAGCCAAGGCCATATGGATTTTCGATATTCTCCTGTTTTTATTTATTTGCTTCTGGAGGGACATGATCGTGAAAAGAAGAAAGGGCATTTGTACGTATAAACAAGAAAGTTATAAAAAAAATATATAGCACTGACCTGATGAACACATGCGTACAATTCAACGTAGCATTCATTTGTATGTGTTGGAGCATTAGAAAGTATCAGTTTTAATCGCAAAGACGGTTCTGTGGGCTATACAATATTTTATTTTTACTCTATTTTGTCCAATTTATGTCCTGTCGTTTTCGTGATTGTTTATTTCGAACAAATCATTATTATGTTTACAAATTGAACAGTTCCATTCTGTTTATTCACATGCACGTTGAACTTTTTTCTGGTATATACCACAAATAATGACAACTTGAAGGACCTTTCTATTTCCGTTGTAATTTACCTAAAGTAGACTAACTATTTCTATTCCTCAATTGAGTTCCTTGAAGTTTAGTATTATAAAGGAGGTGTAGAGTTTTGGTTCCCCACAATCGCCTCCTCTTAATTTTGCTCAATATTGAATTTGCTCCCACTCTTATGAAATAGAATATATTGCAATGCCACTGTGTTCATAAAAAAGGCTCACTAAAATCGCGAACAGTTTCCCATGAGAAGAGCAGTACCAGAAAAACCTGTGCTAGGGTTTTCATTTTACGCAAGTTACTGAAGCAATAACCTTAACAGCTCAAAGACTATGCCCAATAAATCAAGCAGAACGACAGGTTTATTTTTTTATTGTCAAACCGCAAATAAAATTCAATACATAACACAGGCCATTGGTCATGGCTCACACAGAGTGTTCTGTTAGTGAACCTTAGTCTGTTTATGCATCAAATTTCCGCTGGTCGTTTCTTTCCAGTTGTTTCATACCTTCCAGTGTGCGGATTTTTGAAGATATACTTCCTCCCAGTATTACGGTATAACTGATTACAAAAAATTTCGGATTACGAAAGGTGTTTGTTATGTTTTACAAGTCGTAGAAATTTCCATTTCTGTCTACTAAAATCGTTCATTTGTCCTATAACTGTTCAATAGCATGAGATTTCGCTCCGAATACTTTGTCTTACTATTTGGTTTGATACTTTTATTCATGTTCCATCCATCATTTTGTTACGAGTACAATCTGAATAGCAGACAATTTTGGCTATAATGAATTGAAAGTAATGTCCTTAATCCATTTATTTTTGAAACTGAAAGTTTCCAAAAAACTACTTTACAAATTTTCTTTTTTGTCATGTCCTTTGTGTTCTGTCCCAATTTTGACTATGCTAGTTGAGTGATGATTCCATTTATAATTATTCTATATAGGGTCCAGAGTTTCTATTAGAACATGTAGTAGCATAGGGATACAAGATCACTTTTGTAGCTTTCATTGATCAAGTATTTCATTCGATTTGCCATTCGAAGTTTTCTCTCAGTTTTCAAACGGTTACTTCTCGAGGTGTTCAGACTAGCTCGACTTTCCCAATCTACTGTTCCATACGTGACGATTGTTCTCACTATTACACTCAACATCTCTTATTTCATTCATGTAAATATTTGATCTCGCATTATCTCTTTTTTTGTTTTCAATAGAGACGGACTTTTATCTAGGGCGAACTTATAGATATTCATCTTTAGTTTCCCACTCAACACTCCTGTCTACTAACTGATGTGTTTATTTTCTGATTAGGTATTATAAATCTCTTTGAGTCATAGAAGGTATTTTCAACTAGAATAACTAGTTGATTAAGTACTGGGTCTACACAATCGAGGATAACTAAACTATAAAATAAAAACTGGAAGATATATGGAAAGAAAGCAGACAGAAAGATAAAAGATAAACAAAAAAATTAAAAACAAAAGTGCTCAAAGAGCGCAGAAATCCAATATCACTAAAAAAACTGGCCTCATGAACTGCATAAACGTGAAAAGAAAAAACTAGTGCAAGAAACAATTATAGCACTGAGAATGGAAAATAAGATATTTGAATGAATATAAGAGTCAGAACGAGACGATTGAATTTTTTCATTGTGACATCAATCGTCTACAAAATATAAACATTTTGCAGCCGAATCGAAAAATTCGAGTTGGGCGAGATCAATGAAATGGATATGAAAGAGATGGATCTCACAAGGTTAAACACTGAAGTCTTCTTTTGTTAATCAGACATAATGGTCAATTTAAGGCAGTAGCAACTGCCAATAGCTGAACAAAATAGGAAAATGTCGCTGCTTCAGCTCTAGCACTGCAGAGACAGGCATTGGAAACATACCATTACGCTCCATTTAACAAAGGCGGCGGGTTGGCTATCCTTGTTCATCTTTCACTGCCTGAACCACTGTGCATGCTGTTTTTGGTGAGTGCATTGGCTTGGGATGTGAGGGTTGAGCAAACCGGCCATCGGATGTCTGCTTCCATGTTGCCCCGGTAGATACGAGAATGGCAGAATCACTTGTGGTTCAGTTATTCCCTAACCGAATGGCATCCCAGAGATGACTTAATCCTAAGGTGTGTGTATCCGTGCCGAGAGGATGAATGACACTGAGCCTATCAGCTGTCTCCACGGAACCTCCGAGATACCGGGCGCCCTCTTGTCGTAACATCGCCTTGTCACGGTAATGCGGGGCTCTGCCGTGATCGATCGACCTTCTTTCCCTAGCTACTCGGGGGACTTTAATGGACAAACTGAACTTAAAAATTTTTTCTGACGCTGAGTCTACAGAGGAGATGGATGTCGAGCTTACGACTTCAACCGACCTCCTTGTAAATTTAGATCAGGAGCGAGTCTACAGATGAGAAGGATGTCGAGCTTACGACTCCAACTGACCTTCCTATAAATTTAGACAGGAGCGAGAGCTTCTCAACTCTCCAACTCCTGATCCAATAACTGAACCTGAAAAAAAAATTTGGTGGTGCAGCCAGGAAACGACTGAGTCACCTCCTGAAGAGTGGTATACCTTATCAAACCTTCTTGTACCAAAGACTTGAGCGGCGTATGCAAAATCTGTCCCAGGTGGAGGAACAACCCCCCAATGAGCAGGTTAGCAAACGTTTGCGCTCAAGTGATGATTCACTAAAACCAGAGGCGATAAAGCCCTGCGCGGTTGAATCAAAGCCATTGTCAGGTGTAGCTGACATGCAAAAACCCTCATATGGAAAGGTTGTCGCGGGTATCAAGGTGGGAATCTTGCACCTTGACTATCCGACTATCTCATTACTGATGAAACAGTAGAGCAAATACTTTGTGCCTGTTCCGCTGGGGACCGAATCAGGTTTTTAGAGTTCGGCAGAGCCCTACTCTTACCATCTGACCTGAAAGACCACTCACCATACAACTAATCGGCTTCGTTTAGAAGCTGGGTTTATTTGGTCGAGTGTGAATATGTGTAAGCCACAATAAACCCTTACGGGATGCAGTGGAGGGTCGAATCGACCCACTCACTTTGGACAACAACAAAAATTCTTGAAGCAAATATAGCTGAGCCCACTAAAGAGCAGATATCAACAAAGGTAGGAAGTCTATCCTAGAGTATGGGACAGATATCACAGACATCAAAAAACTAACTAACCTGAGAATAAATTGAGATACATGTTCTCATCGAAAGGTTGAAGGAGAAGTGTATGGATAGCCGCGTTGGATTTTGAGGCTACCAAGACTGATTCTGTAAAAACAAAAATGCAGCGAGGAAAGAAGCAAAGTTGAAGTAGAAAATCAGCAAATTCGTAAAAATCATCTCTGAATGAAGCGAGTCGTATGTGAAATCGGTATCCTCCAGGAGACTGACTGCAAATGGATGATTGACGCAGTCGAATGCCCTACTGAGATCACAATTTTTTTTGAATATTTTTAAACAAATTTCAAAATATTCATGAACTCGAAAAAATTTCCGGAACTAATTTGACCTCTAGTGGTATTACTAGTCGTACCCACAGTGAAACTTTCTTATGATGATAACATTTTAAGTGGTGAAAAATAGAAATGTCTTGATGAAACTTAGTTTTCATTAAAACTTCAACAACACTTGATCGATCCTCAATTTCAGTACACCGATGTACTTGGGATTGGATTCCCTTCAAATTAAAAGTATAAGTAGTCCCATTAAAAATCCTGAAGTAAGGGGTGCTGGGGATGAGAGGGTTGACAACACAATAATGATGTATTTGGTAAATAAAAATCGACGGTTCTAAGCGATTCTCCATTTTTTTCACGAGTTCGCAGATTAGGGGTTTGACAAGTTTTAACTGGGACACACTGTATATGGAACTGAGTGTTGTCACCTACTTTTATACAAACCGTTAAAAGTGAGGTATGAAATTTTATCATCGACTCCTACAACTCTTCTCTACTCAAGAGATATATACATTAAAGTGAAAAAAGTAAAATATCCACAGACTTCACAGTGTAAATCAATTACGTCGAAACTAAAAAGTTAAACATTGCCTCATAACATAAACAATGAAACGTTATATAACTAACTCATACTTTTCATTATGTTATAGTTGAATAAATTCGGTTTGAAGTATTTCCGATTTTCCTTTCATCAGCCGCACTATTCGCCGAAATACCTCTCGTTTCATTTTCATGTAATATATTGTGAAGGTCATAATAAAAGGGTGAGTGTGTCGTGTTGCGGTAAGGTGTGGAAATTCGTTGAATTTTATATTAACTTGTTTTCATCACGTTTACTTTGCCTGTCAGGAATGGATTCGTTTAGGTGATTGTGAATGGAGGGCAGTAAAAAGTAGAGGATCCTCAAGGTAACAGCAAAAACAAAGTGGTGTAGTAGTTTACTCAGCAACCCATTAAAGGGTATGAAGTTAGTACACTGAGAAAAAAATGTTGAATTAGTATCATTTCATTCAACGACTTTAAACACTTACCATTTTTCAATATGATACTTTAATTGACTGACTTAGTGGAAAAAATGACTTTTTACACATACCAAACTGAGATATGTTATTCTTGATGACCGTATCAACAAAAAAACTTCACATCATAGTTTTCCAGGTCGTCTGAGGAGTTGGAAATGGGGAAATGGGGTGAAAATCGTATTATTGAAAATGTCATGTATACCTACACCTACAAGATTGCGCTATGTTATTCCATATCAACAAAAAAAACTTCATATCAGAGTTTTTCAGTCCGTCTGAGGTGGAGGGTGAAACCTAAAAAACGTCGTATCATCAAAAATTGAATGTGTAAATACACCTAAAAGATTGAGAAATGTCATTCCGGAATGACCGATTGAACTGAACAAACTTCACGTCATAGTTTTTCAGGCCGTCTAAAGGGCTGGAAAATGGAGTGGAAACTTTTTAAAATGGTATGTATCATCAAAAATTGAATGTAGGTATACACCTGATTACACCTCCAAGATTGAGATATTCTATTCCTGATGACCGATGTGACAGAAACCAACTTCACGTCAGAGTTTTCCTAGCCATCTGAGGGGATGAAAATGTGGTACTCATTCAATTTTCGATGATACAATTTAAAAAACTGATCAATCGCTATACAATAGCTTCTTCAAGCATAACATTATGTTTAGGAGTTATGCTTGAAGAATATTAAAGTGTTAATAATACTGCCTGTTTCTATGAATTTACTCAAAATACGGGTAACTGTAGTATGAATCACATCACGATTATGATGTCTGGCATTAAAAATGTCTGTAATTTGTCTGTTTGGAATATTTTCCCCACACAACAATATAATCTTATTTATTTTTGTAAGCATCTTGATATTATTTAATATTATCAAACGTTAACGAAATAAGCAATAACAATAACTACGTAATGAATATTTAGCAAATATGTCACGTACTTGATGTCAAACATACGTTTGGTTTCAAAGCCAACTTAAAACACTTATTTTGGACAAAAAAATCTCCAGAAAATCAATTGTTGCGAAATATCAATTTTATTTTGATGTTTTGTGATTTAATATTATTAAATATTAAGTTCTTGTTACAATACTGTATAATTTTGAGTAATTTTCGGTGTTAAAAAAAATAAAAATAACTTTGCACCAAAAACTTTGAACATTATTTTACTTTTTAAAAAAATGACAGTGGTTAACACCATAGTTGTGTGATTTGTAATATTGTAAAAAAATAAAACTTCACTTAGATGGCCATGACTTCATATCAAGATGTATTTTTTAATGCTGAACAACTTTTCCAAATGACATTTTCCAAGATTTTTCAAAATGAGAGTACCTACTTCACTCTTGTCTCAAAATCAAACATTTGAAGGCTCCTCGTAAATTACTTATGTTTTACTGTATTTCGTTAGTGCATGTTCAGTTTTAGAGAATGCACAAACTTTTATCAAGAATAAATTTTTGTAGAAAAACCCTTAATAAATGAGTTCCCCATATAGTGAATACTTTGGGTATGACACTGTATATAAAATTTTCAACGATACCATTTTTTTGAGTTTTCACCCCATTTCCACCTCCTTAGACAGCCTGGAAAATTCTGAGGTGGAGTTTTTTTGTTGATACGGCCATCAGGAATAACATATCTCAGTTTGGTAGGTGTACAAAGTTGATTTTTCATGGTAAGAAGATTTTAAATATTGACACCCTATTTTCATCCCTTCAGATGGCCTGGAAAACTCTGTAGTGAAGTTTATTTTGTCGAATTGGTCATGAAGAATAGTATATCTCAGTTTGGTAGGTGTACGAAGTCAATTTTTAACGTTACGAATTGAAAAAAGTTCCACCCTGTTTTCACCCCTTCAGACGGCCTAAATGCTAGGAAAGTTCTTTTTTTCACTAAGTCAGTCAATGAGCGTAAAAATAGTGGGTGTACAAAGTCGTTAAATGAGAAAATAATTCAATATTTTTTTCTCAGAATACTCTGTGGATGTGTGTAGCTTCACACCTGAAAAAATTGTACAATCACTAATTATAATTTTTTTGCCTTTTGTGGTATTCGATAAGATGTTTTGTTAAAATAATCTTTTGGACGTAATATAGGACGTGATTACTGAAGATCTGCGAACATAGGGATAATGATTTTAATGGTAATAATCATATTCAATACATATATTTGCAAAAAAGTTAGTAAACTCACACCGTGACCTTATTCAACTATACCTATGTGTAAAAGATCAGTAAAAAATTCAGGTTTAATCTCCTTAACTGGTCAGGTAGAAATATATGATCATACAGGTAGTTCCCGTCATTAACATCATCTGAAAACCTGATTTATCTGTTCATAACAATATTCACTCGGAAACCTTGAGTTGTTTATATACACTGAGCATGAATCATTGTTTACTCAACTTTCTCCAGTATCTGGAATTATTTATTAAATACCTAGTGCAGGTGCCGACTTGACTTTATTTGGGTTGTGACTAATTGTGATTATTTTGCATTTCTTTTGTATGAGAGACACAATTTATTGAATCTGAGAACGAGTAGCTTTTACTCGAACCGATACGAACCAAAGCAGGCGATAAAACAGTAAAAGCACGACAACTTGACAGCTGATTATAACCCACCTTGCCAGAGGACCACTCCTTTTCGCTCTTTGCCCAAGAATCTTCTCAACTACCGCAGCATTGCCCTTCCTCGCAGCCTCCAACAGTTCTTGGTCTTTTCCCATGGCCCTTCGATAAGCCTTTTATTCATTTATAAGTCATAATTACACAAAACACCACTTTATTCACTCCCGTACTACGATTCATTGATCGCCGTCTGCCATGTTTCCACTACAGCGCCCTCGACGGTTACTAGTCGAGTCGTTTAACACGTTCGTTGTTCATTTGTTTTGTTTTGAGTGGTTTGCGACGGCTCAGCTGTTCTGATATTTATACCAGGAATATGTGATAACAAGTGATTTATTTTAATTTTAGTGTGTTGTGAGAAATTAGAACAAACTGGAATACGGAATACACAATATGAAGCTCTTAGGCTTGCTCTTTTTGAACGTACTGTTTTACAAAGGTATGCAAAATATTCAAATTCTACCCCTTCCTTTCTACAGTTGTTGCCACGGCAGAAAGCTTTCCTAATTGTTTTTAATGTTTTTAATTACATTAGAATGCAAGGCAACTATTATCTCATTTCATAGTCATTCAAAATTACTTAAATGTGCTTTTAAAGTTTGGAACATAACCTCACTTATTGTCCGCAGTGTCGTGCGAAGGAATAAGTATCGATTTGTCCCGTTATCACCCCAGTGGCGTAGACAACGTGTTTCGGAAGTATTACACAGTCAATGAGGATACAACAACGATTGATATTAATAATATCGAAGACGACGTGGGATTTATCATTATACAAGTTCACAGTTTCATAGAGAACATTACGTTATCGAATAGCTCTAGCTTGGGGGCGCATTCTTATGTTACAGGGAAAAACATAGGGATGGTATGGGGATCTGGGGAGAGCAATGCTACTTTCTATTTATTGCGGAATATCAAGTATATGGTGAATGTGCGTATTCTTTTGGTGGTTGCTGTGTATGATGAATTTGGTAAGATAAAGTAAGAAGTAGGATATGAGCAAAATAACATTATATAGTTGTGCAGAGTTCAAGAATGCCTTGAAGAGAAACAGTGAACAGAGCAAGTAAAATTATTAAATTTGATAATATTTCTGAAAATACAACAAGATGTTAGTTAGAAAAGTTGTTTGGAATCAGGAGACACCTACTCAAATACAACGTTACAGCACCTTATTCAAAATCTTGAATTGATCCTGCGTGATATATTTTTTCAGTATTATATCTCAGTTATATTCAAAGATCAACAATAAAATTATTTCGACATTTTCTTATTCCATTTTCATTGCAATGATATTCATATGAATTCGGAAATTTTGCAAATTTATTTGTCAAAACAAATAAATTATTTAGGTACCTATAATGCTATAAATAAGTTGGAACACATTTTAACTGAACATACCAAAATTGTCGTAACCTAGGCAACACAGCAAACTCAAAATATATTAAGTGAAACTAGAGCAGCAACAAACTCGACAAAAACCAATAATCAAACTAATCGAAGCATATCTGTTTAACTATCTTTATGCATCTGATTGTTTACTAATGAAATCAACTTGTAATAGATGGGAACACCCTGACAGAAATATTTATGCAATGAAATCTTATGGTATTTTGTAGCTACTGGTGGAATAGTCATTATAACATCAAACAATGGTATCTTTTTTAGGTTTCCGATACATTAAGAAAGGTTACACATCAAACGTTCGTTTTTTTAATAATATTGGTTGTTATTGGTAACAAAATTTGCGCTTTCATCTGACCGCGATTTTCAAATTTCGGATGATTCAACGCCATTTCTAGTAAAAATAAATTCATTTCAATTTAATTTTCATGATACGGAAGTATAGATACCTCTATTAAAAAATTTTCATCCTTTCCATATTGTCTCAAAAAACTGTTATAATATGGAAGACTATAGAATAGTTATTAACATTAAAAGGTGGATATGTAGCAAATAACAGAGGATCATAACCGAATCCGTTATTTGCGTATCGACCATGTGTCGTTCATGACTTTTCGTAATCCCGCTGAAAGATTATATTTTGATTCCGAGGAAATAACAAACCACGTACCTACCCCGTAATTCTACAGAAAAATTTCAACATCGTGTTGTTATGGAACAGATTGACAATATCACAACAATAATATAAACAGTGTTTTTTGTGTTCGCAAGTTTGCTTCATCATCGACCTAAAGTTTTTGATATTCCAAAATTCAAAATTGATGAAAAAAGAAATGAAAATTTCTATGTTTTTTACCACTTTTATTTGTAACTAACGTTACTGCAGTTCCGTCCTATATGGACATTTTCAAACTTTCAAGGTTATTGTTTGAGTTTGAAAATGTCCATATAGGACGAAACTGCAGTAACGTTAGTTACAAATAAAAGTGGTAAAAAACATAGACATTTTCATTTCTTTTTTCATCATGATCTCCTACCACATAGTAACGGCTACATCCATCAATTTATTTAAAATTGAAATTCTTTCAGAGTATTTCATTCCTCGTCTTAAGTTGGAGCGAACAACTAAAATGTTACTCCATCTAGTAGACGAGGTACTGCATATCCGAAATTTTCCCGATTCCTCTGAATAAGGAAGAAAAACTTTCTTATTAGTCAGTGGGCTATACTTGAAGACAGTCAGTAAATAAATCTAAAGAAATGAACTTTAAATGTTCAAGCCAGTCTCGGATATACCTGCTACATCCATCAATTTATTTAAAATTGAAATTCTTTCAGAGTATTTCATTCCTCGTCTTAAGTTGGAGCGAACAACAAAAATGTTACTCCATCTACTGCATATCCGAAATTTTCCCGATTCCTCTTAATAAGGAAGAAAAACTTTCTTATTAGTCAGTGGGCTATACTTGAAGACAGGCAGTAAACAGATCTAAAGAAATGAACTTTAAATGTTCAAGTCTGTCTCGGATATACCTGCACAGTAGGTTGAATGGACTGACGTCTATCAGAAAACAACTACTCCAGTGGCTAAATCCACGAACGGCGTTGGATTATATCCAACAGGCGTCAGTGCAGGAGTCTTCAGAGAAAATTTCCTGCATATGCAATTAGCAATACAACTGAAAGAGTCCACCTTCAATTTTGTAACGGGCACACTTGCAGACCGGTTTCGGGCTCCTTAGCCATTTGTCAGTGCAAGCTAGTGACAACGAACAACAAAATGTCACTCCATCTAGTGTATGAGGTACTAACCAACTGCATATCCGAAATTTGCACGATTACTCAGAATAAGAAAGAAAAACTTTCTTATTAGTCAGTGGGCTATGCTTGAAGATAGACAGTAAACAAATCTAAAAAAATGAACTTTAAATGTTCAAGCCAGTCTCGGATATATCTACACAGTAGGTTGAATGGAGTGACGCCTATCAGAAAACAACTGCTCCACTAGCGGATATAATCCATCGCCGTTCGTGGTATTAGCCACTGTTTTTACCAACTTCATTACGAGCCAGTTCTACAAACCGTTCCGGATACGAATTTTCTTCCAGAACAAATTCAATCATAGTTACTTTCCCTTCCAGAATACGGACTGAGTTGCAAACTATCTTAACCTCATCCGACTAAGTATATTTTTCCAACACTATCAGCTTGATTAGATTTATAGTGAAGATATTTACTAGTGTCATACACTTGTATGAACGCTCGTCAAATAATTCAATATATGATCCCATTTAGGAAATACCGTTAACATGCCTACACATGCCTATCTTTGGGCCATTCTGGTAAGTCTTGATGTAAGTTTTCTCAAAAATGTTCCGTGAAAATATTAGTCAGAATTGTTGACAATGATGAGCTCATTGCGATTCCAATTGGTTAACTGTTCCAAATTAGGCAGCAACTTCTCGGGGTGAACTTTTCAGCTTGCACTTCACTGATTCAGCTGTTTATTTTTCAGTTTGTGGAAGATTGAATGCTCTAAAATCAGCAAGTAACATTGACTGTTCCACAAAGAATGCCTTTCACAAAAAACTTGTAATTTTGCTCATATACTTGTCTATTGTTATTGTTTATTTTTATTATTATAATTTGTAAACCGAGTATGTGGATAAAAATCATTTGTTCCTCTAGGTCCACATAGAAAAATCCTTGAATACATCAAATCATAGTATTTTTATTAAAATGTGCGAATCAATTTCAACTTTCATTAAGAATACGTCTCAGATGTTTTTGGAAACCCATATATTCATAAATGTTTTGCTTAGACCTTCCAGGTTTCTCGATGACTAAGTACCTGAAATACTTTCAGCTAGTTTTCTTCTAAGCATACTGTACGTTCTTCCAAATAATTGTCTACCAATAATCTCTATGCCAAAAATGTTTCAAAATTGTACTCACGTTTGATTAGCACCCTCCTTTCTCAGGATATCTTCAGTGTTAAATACGTGTAACTATTTTATTAGTCCACGAACTGAAACTTAGTCTGCATTTTATTCACGATAAACGATTTATACTTATGAGAATTTTACAGAACCGCAACATGTGTTTCACTATATAATAACTTCTTCAGTCGTGTTTAATACTCCCTATGATAAACACAGTTTGGAAATACTATTATATAGGAAAACACGTGTTGTTAAACTGTATTCGTTTGCTTTCTTCTCCTAAATATTTAAAATACATTTTTCATATAACGTTAACGTTGTAGCCCTATAAAAGAATGATTGAGAAATTTCAGTATGTTGTGTACAAATATGTTTCAATGTGTAAAATGTATGCGGAAGTAATTTTAGTTTGGTTACTTCAGTAAAAATTTCAATTTGACTTCGTATTCGAACATAATATTGAATGCTCACGAATTTTTCTCAATAACATTTTGCTTTTTTTTTCGAAATATATTCGAATTTAAAAACTTTAAGCCCACATTATTCACTGTTTGACTTGAAACCATTCTAATTGCATCTGACATTTGCTCAGTTCTTATGTAATGAAATAATCATTTAAATAGTATTCATTCGAGAGACTATAAAATCACTTGTTTGCAATAATAATACTGCCAGTTAACGGAATGCAGATGCAAAACTTTCATGCACCATGGAATGTATGTAATGGAATTATGTTTCTGTTGGTATATGTTTTTCTGTTAACCTGCTATTGCCTTCCAATGAACGACAACCCTCAAAGGTTGACACTTGTTCGAGCTGAGGATTAAGGAGGTGTTACTTTATAACATGATATTCCTAGCACAGGTTGGGCGGTAGGCAGTGAAAATCGAGCGTACGGTCTCTCGGATCGAACTACCGTTTCACCTGCCTGTCGATTGAATGAGTTTAGAAAACCGCAAAACGTTTTTCACTATACAATACTTTGTTCATGTGATGCTCTGTTTGGAACCTTTGGTGTAGTAATGAATATTACCGGAATTTTATCCCAACATCAAATCGTTATTTCAACACCTCGATACGTTTTTCGATCACCAAGTTATCATCTTCAAGAAGAAGATTATTTTATCTCTTGAAGATGATCACTTGGTGATCGAAACACGTGTCGAGGTGTTGAAATAATGGTTTGGTGTTGTGATATAACTTTGTTCATACTGATGTATGAACTCACTGGAGAAAGCTTGTTCATACTCATATATGGACACGCCTGAGGAAGCTGTTGGTTAGTGAAACACGTGTTACCGTTTTGTAAACTGTTTAATTGAAATACCATAATGAAGTGTTACTTAAATACTATAACATTTGTCCATTTTCAGATCCAGTACCAGGAGGTTGCAACTTGACCTTCGACACAGTTTTAGCACCATACCAATTAACATCTTATAACGATGAATATATCACGGTCAAAAGCCAACCTCCATCGGCATACGGAGTATCTTGCGACACGAACAAAATAAAAGTCGACATGTTCCATCTATACCTTCCGGAATATGACCGGAATAACGAGACGTATTTTGATGGAATTGAAAAGATGTTATCAGTGGAGGATATTTTGAGATACGGCACCAAAGTGCCTGAGATCGAAGGATACTTCAAATTTCGACGGCTATATAGTTCATATAGAGGGACTGGGGAGGTATTCGGGATGATCGCGACGTATAATAACAAAAGTGCAGCGTATGTTCCAGCAGTTTCCTATGGATGTGATTTGATGGATTGGGACCAGAACTGCATTGGACCAGGTTAGCCCTCTATTTTAGTTTACAACAGAATGGTATCTAGATTCAAGTTTCTATTTTGTTTATTGTTGATGAAATAATCAGAAATTATTCATATAAAACAGGTCTACTAGACCTATTCTAAATTTTTTACCAGAATGTAATCGTGACAAACAACCATTACATCGTGATCTTCGACCTGAACTATTTGCCTTAGAACCCGAGTTGTCCCAATCTTTAAGAAAGGCAATGAAGATGCAATTGAAAATTACCGGCCAATATCGATCGTCCCAATTTTTGGCAAATTATTTGAAATCATCCTAAAAAATAGGCTTTATGAGTATTTTCATAAGTACAAGCTATTTAACACTAATTAATTCGGATTTAAGAAATCATCCGCCACAATAAATGCGGTAAAGAAAGTAATAGAAAACATAATAACTTGCTTTGAAAAAGGAGAACACACTATTGCTGCTTTATGTGATCCAACAAAAGCATTCGATTGCGTCTCCCGTTCTATTCTACTGAAAAAATTAGATGACTGGCATAAGAGGAACCCCCTGTCTATTTTTTCTTCATATCTGACAAACAGATACCAATATGTATCAATTGACTCGGACAATGTATCCGACTTAAAACCAGTTACATGTGGAGTTCCACAAGGATCGGTTCTGGGGCCACTTTTATTCATAATCTATATAAATGATCTCTTTTCCTTCATGTCACCTCATAATTGTTTTCGCCGATGATACCACTCTTACAACATCCGGAAAAATCAAGGGTAATTTGGTGCGCGATATAAATCAAATTCAAAGGAATGCTGACATATGATTCAAAAGAAATAATCTAATATTAAACGAAAATAAAACTCAACACATCATTTTCACATCAAACACTTCTTGGGTTGAAGGACACAGTGTTAAACTCTTAGGCATACATCAAGATGATAATTTGAACTGGTTAGAGCACATTGAACAACTTAGCATCAAACTGTCGAAATACACATTTCTTCTTCGGAAATTGAAAGATATAATCTCTCAACAGACGCTATTATCAGCTTACTATTCTTTTTTCCATTCTCACATATCATATGGAACAATTCTCTGGGGAAATAGTACTAACGCAAATAGGATATTTATGTTACAAAAAAGGCCCTGAGGATATTATCTGGGGCTGGTTTTTTAGACTCCTGTAGACCTCATTTCCTCATGGAAATAATGACAGTACCTTCTATTTGATAGATACTACCAAGTGCCGTATGATCTTGTTCAGGAAGCAAATAAGATGGTGAAAACTAACCCCTCTTGCCTATTTCTAGTTACGAAGGTCGTTTCAAAGTTCTCGTTAATTACTGATAGCCCTTGAGCAAAGCTTCATCTAAAAAAATCTCACATATCACTGTGTCGAGGGGAGATACATATGCCAAGAAATAAATATCTGGAAGAGGAATTCGACACATTCACTTCCCTCAAAGTACGTACAGATTAGGATCTGAAGAATGTTTGTCTTCCTTTGTGAAGAAACTGGTATACTATCAGATATAATAAATATAAAATAATATGAATGTACGTCGTTGTATGAGCTACAATGGCAGTTGTTTTCCTGAGGCATTTGCCAGATTTTTCTGTTGGGCGAGGTGAATCTATTATAACGGTCTCAACTAATTTCGAAAATTACAGATTTCTGTCATATCATACCATATAATTTTTGAAATATACGGTAATCTGGGGTGAAGTCGGACAGTAGGGGCTAAGGCGTACAGAAGCTCGTTTTTCTATAATTTTGTTCAAGGACATCTCGCCGGTGTGGCGCTGGACCTGTCTAGATACGTTAGTAGACATCAAAACACATTGGTGGATGGTCGTGGTGATTGTAATTTCCTCCGGTCGCGTACAAATCGGCTTCTATTTCGTATTGCGTTTTGTGTTGTTTTTTCAACTAGTGAAAACAAACTATTGCCCACAGGTAAGGTTTACATATATAACAGTTGTTTTACCACTAAAATGTTAACTACTTTATTGACATTATTTGGCGATGAAATGATAATAATACCACCTTTCGTTTTTTTTAAAAATAATTGAAATATAAAATATTGTCCACAGGTGGGGTAGAAACGGACACCATGGTGAGGAATTACAAAAAGAAGATAGGCCTAAGTTTCATGAATTATGATGAAACAAGTTCACAGAGAGCACTAGACGATGTGAAAAAAGGCAAGAAAAGTTTGAGACAAGCATCAGTATATTATAAAATTCCTAAATCTACACTCCATGTATTTTTGGCAGAAGAAGAAAGTTTNTGAAAAAATATGAAAATTTTCGAATTGAATGATTCAACAACAGTTCAGTACCTAGTATAAGGTTTATATTTTGTTTTTGTTTTGTGTTATATGTAGGTAGTTTTATTTTCCTAGAAGACAGTGCAATTCGAATTGAATGAGTTCAGAATAAGTATGAGGTTTATGTTTTGTTTTTACTTGTGTTATTTTACTAAAATAGATTAGTTTCTTATTTGAAAATGCGTTTTTGTTTCTTGTGGATTGCTATAAATCATTATTTTTGTGTCCGCCTACGCCCCATTTCAGGGGTAAAGATGACTTCTGATGCAAAATGAATAGGTGTCCATGTTCACCCCACACGTAGGGGCAAAGGCGGACAGCATTTAACCAAAAAAAAATAGTGGGGGTAATATTTTTTTGCATATTTTTATATCGTATCATATTTTTTCAAACTTTTTGCTCTAAAGGGGTTCGAGTTATTGGCAAAAAAGACCAAAAATTGTCCGACTTCACCCCAGATTACGGTATTGAAAATATTCAATTGAGTTATTCTTTCATTATATGAAATAATTTTTATTAATTTGATACTTTTCAGTTACAGGCTTCTGGAAATTTGTCTGCGCCCTGCTTTTAATATTTGGATTGTTTGTCTGTTTTCTCGGACACAGATTTTTCAAGGTGACTTTATACATCATTGGGTTTACATTTGGGGTGTTCATCACCTATTTAACCATATCTCTGGAACAAAATTTAACGGTAAATGGTAAGATTTGGAGCAGTATGAATTTGTCAGATGAAATATTTGAATTGTTTCTATATTTCAGAAAAGGCAATCACCTCCTTCGTAGTTGGTTTTTTGTATGGTATATTTTGGACGTTTATCTGGTGGAAATTTGGGATACCGTTACTATCCGTAAATCTAGTTTTTGTGTTATCAGGATGTCTTGTTGCTTCAGTCATTTATTATGCAGGAGTTGGTGAGCAGATTTTTTTAAAAAACTATGTCGTCTTGAACGATTATCAAGAAGTGATATAAACTTATTTGTTCAAATAAGAGGTTTAGATTCAGATACCTGAAAGTTAGAAAAAGACAGTGACAAAATACTCTTATATTATTCTATGAAAAATAGTTTATTTGGAGAAGTCAAAGTGTTTTGTATTTCAACCTTCCACAATTCCAAAAATGAAGCCAAATCAAGAGAAGATTTGTTAAAGTGTAATAAAGGCGGAACTATAGTTTCTATAAGTTCTTATAATTAATAATTATAATGACGAGATGTCTTCATTTGTTTTTTGCATTGCATGTAGCTGAGGTCTCCGTTTTATTCAGGTGTCCTTGTAAATAAATAGTGAGTAATCTCATAATTACTCTGCTCGGCTTAGACAATCCCTATTCAGGGGTGCGCAAAAGTCCTTTCTGGAAATTTTTTTTGTCTAAAATAATTCTCCAAAATAATCTCCGGAAAATCAATGAGTTTGTTCCAAAATACCTAGTTTATTTTAATGTTTTGTGATTTGATATCATTGAATAATGAGTTCTTGTTACAATACTTCACAATTTTGAGTAATTTTCGGTGTTAACAAAAAATAAACATAACTTTGCACCAAAAACTTTGAACAGTATTTTACTTTTTGAAAAAATGACCGTGGTTAACACCATAGTTGTGTGATTTGTAATATTGTAAAAAAAATAAAACTTCACTTAGATGGCCATGACTTCATATCAAGATGTATTTTTTAATGCTGAACAACTTTTCCAAATAACATTTTCCAAGATTTTTCAAAATGAGAGTACCTACTTCACTCTTGTCTCAAAATCAAACATGTGAAGGCTCCTCGTAAGTTACGTATGTTTTACTGTATTTCGTTGGTGCATGTTCAGTTTTAGGGAATGCACAAACTTTTATCAAGAATAACTTTTTGTAGAAAAACCTTAAAAAAACTTAATAATGAGTTCCCCATATAGTGAATACTTTGGGCATGACACTGTATATAAAATTTTCAACGATACCATTTTTTTGAGTTTTCACCCCATTTCCACCTCCTCCTCGGTCGGTAGCCAAGCGATTCGGCGTGGGTGATTTGTTCACTCACTCGAATTGACTGCCGTGTTGGTCCGGTGGTTCAAGCCCTAGTCTGAACGATCGATCTTCACTTGCTATCGTCCAACCCGTGTTAGGAATCACACGTTAAAAGGTAAGACCTCATTAATCCCTAGCTCGCACAAGTTTCGACTTATGAGGGTTGTCGTTCGTAGGGGTGCGACAGCTGGTTAACGGAAAAACAGATTTTTTTTTTAACAGCCTGGAAAATTCTGAGGTGGAGTTTTTTTGTTGATACGACCATCAGGAATAACATACCTCAATTTGGTAGGTGTACAAAGTTGATTTTTCATGGTAAGAATATTTTAAATATTGGCACCCTATTTTCATCCCTTCAGACGGCCTGGAAAACTCTGAAGTGAAGTTTATTTTGTCGAATCGGTCATGAAGAATAGAATATCTCAGTTTGGTAGGTGTACAAAGTCAATTTTTAACGTTACGAATTGAAAAAAAAAAGTTCCATCCTGTTTTCACCCCTTCAGACGGCCTAAATGCTAGGACAGTTCTTTTTTTCACTAAGTCAGTCAATGAGCGTAAAAATAGTGGGTGTACAAAGTCGTTAAATGAGAAAATAATTCAATATTTTTTTCTCAGAATACTCTGTGGATGTGTGTAGCTTCACACCTGAAAAAATTGTACAATCACTAATTATAATTTTTTGGCCTTTTGTGGTATTCGATAAGATGTTTTGTTAAAATAATCTTTTGGACGTAATATAGGACGTGATTACTGAAGATCTGCNGAGGAACAACCCCCCAAGGAGCAGGTTAGCAAACGTTTGCGCTCAAATGATGATTCACCAAAACCAGAGGCGATAAAGCCCTGCGCGGTTGAATCAAAGCCATTGTCAGGTGTAGCTGACATGCAAAAACCCTCATATGGAAAGGTTGTCGCGGGTATCAAGGTGAGAATATTGCACCTTGACTATCCGACTATCTCATTACCGATGAAACAGTAGAGCAAATACTTTGTGCCTGTCCCGCTGGGGACCGAATCAGGTTTTTAGAGTTCGGCAGAGCCCTACTCTTACCATCTGACCTGAAAGACCACTCACCATACAACTAATCGGCTTCGTTAAGAAGCTGGGTTTATTTGGTCGAGTGTGAATATGTGTAAGCCACAATATACCCTTACGGGATGCAGTGGAGGGTCGAATCGACCCACTCACTTTGGACAACAACAAAAATTCTTGAAGCAAATATAGCTGAGCCCACTAAAGAGCAGATATCAACAAAGGTAGGAAGTCTATCCTAGAGTATGGGACAGATATCACAGACATCAAAAAACTAACTAACCTGAGAATAAATTGAGATACATGTTCTCATCGAAAGGTTGAAGGAGAAGTGTATGGATAGCCGCGTTGGATTTTGAGGCTACCAAGACTGATTCTGTAAAAACAAAAATGCAGCGAGGAAAGAAGCAAAGTTGAAGTAGAAAATCAGCAAATTCGTAAAAATCATCTCTGAATGAAGCGAGTCGTATGTGAAATCGGTATCCTCCAGGAGACTGACTGCAAATGGACTATTGAAATCCATAAAAGATTCCACATATATGTAGAATACATTCTCCATTTCAAAAGGAAAAGCAGGATGTTGTTAGATTATGATAGAGCGACCCATTGTGAAGCAATCTAGAAAAGACGATTGATCGCCAATATTCGAGAGGAGACAGACTGCCACCAGACAGAAGGCAGACGGCCAATACCAAATGTAAGGCACAGGTCTTTTGTATGGAATTGAATTATTTAATAAAGTTATTGAATTTGCACAATTCGAAATGTAACGATATTATTTTATATTACAAAATCAATACTTTTCAACATGAGCCAACACAACTAAAAATATGGTATGATTGCGTTGTTTACAATTAAAGTCGTGATTTTCAACGACAAAAGTTCACATTACCTCTCACTTCATTTCGTACAGACAAATATTGAGAAATATTGATTAGCTGCAATTGCTCAAATACGGATCAGATTTCGATGCCCATGATTTGTCCAACATAATGGCACCTATAAACACCGCGCATTCTAGTCCTAAGATATAATTATTCTGTGGTGTGCCATTTATTATAGTGGCAACTTTTAACCAAAAGTTTCAAAATTTTTACTCAACAAAATAAAGTTTTGTAGGTAAATGTTCATTCTTTCATTTATTTCAACTCTACATTTCCATTGCAGAATTTGGTTCAAGGTTCTTAATGAATTCTAGAGGAGATGAATATATATTACGACCATATTGGGAAGATCAACTTGAATCCTGATTGAGAAAAATTAAAATTAGAAATTTTTGATAAAGTGTTAGAAGCTTATTTGAAAATATTGAATTAATGTGTTCAAAGCAATTAACTGTACCGAAGTATTAGGAAGTATTAGGAAGTGTTAGGAAGTATTAGGAAGTGTTAGGAATCACACGTTAAAAGGTAAGACCTCGTTAATCCTTAGCTCGCACAAGTTTCCACTACTGAGGGTTGTCGTTCGTA